GAATAAGCACTGAAAATCACAGGCCCTAAATTTCCAGGCTTGGCCAATTAAGACGCGGCTTGTGAAGGTGGCCTGGAGGTCAGCGTGGAAGGGAAGCAGCGCCCACCCCTGCAACTGACCAGCCGGGTCTCTTCCGGGCCTTGGAGGCAGGAGCGGGGAGGGGAAGGTGGGGGCGGTGGGGAGGAGCTACTCTAAGGCCCAAAGGGAGGACCTGCCTCCCCCCACGCCCCCTCCGCCGGTGCCAGCCTGGGGCCAGGGCAGCCTCCAGTCAGGCAGGGGAAGGCAAGGGCTGCAGGGCCTAGATCCCCCCCCCCCGGGGCTGGCAGGGGGTCCACCGCTGGCTGGAGAAAGGCCTAAGAGCCAGGGGAGCCGTGGGGCTTCCTCATCGGAGAAGCCCTCCCCACGGGGCTCTGCCCAGCTCAGCAGCCCAAAGGGGAGGCAGGGCTGCTGTCCCAGAGCCAAAGGCAGGTTGGGGGCTTGGGGCGAAGTGCCGGTCCTCTTCAGGGGTGCAGGGATCTCCAAGGGGCCCTCGAGGGAAGGGAAGGGGGGGTCCCTCGGTCTCACCTGCAGGGGCTGCTGTCCCTCTCGGCCCTCTGGGTCAGCAGTTTCGTGGCTCCTGGAGGGGCCCCCTGACCCCAGACTGGCGGGTCCATCTTGCTGGCAAGCAGGGAGCCCACTCAGCTCATAGCACTCCTGGATGTCTGAGGGGGGACAGACCGCAGGGCGCCTTGAGAGGCCAGCTCTGAAGACCCCCCTGCCCTGCCCCCTGGCAGAGGAGCCCCCTGGCAGAGCGTCCCGGGATGCCATTTAGGCAGGCTGCATCTCTGAGGGACACACGGTCCAGTTTCCCCGGAACTTTTGCAGAGCAGCAGCAGGCAAGCCCCGTGGCTGATGACCCCCCCCATGCATCTTCTCCCTCCCCCCAAGGCTGTTCCCAGAGGTTGCCACCCCTCCCTGCAGCCCCTCAGCAGAATCCAGGCAGGTGGTTCTCTAACAGGGTGGCTGAAGGGAGAACTGGCTCCCGGCCCTCCCTGCAGGGCTACAGGCTCAACCCCCTGGCTGATGGAGCCAGCAGGAGGAGCCAGGTGGGTCTCACCTGCTGAGCCAAAGAGCAGCTCTGCTCCGCAGGGAACCCCGAGCTTAGCCCGCAGGGGGAGCAAGGGGGCCCCCCGGGAAGGCTCTCCAGCGCCCCCAGACTCTTCTTGGCTTCCTTCCTTCCTGTTGGGCTCCAGGCCTCCAAGTCAGAGGCCCCTCTGGCCCCGGAGGAAGCAGATGCCCAGAGGCTGCAGAATGCAGAGGCTGCCATCTCTGTGGGATGCAGTTCTGGGGGGCCTGAACATCACACCCCCCCCCCCCCCCCCAAGCAGCGGCTCTGGTTTAAGGGGGCCTATGCCCAGGGGCACCCCCAGCAGGGGCACGGCCTGCGCGCTCGGCCGTCGCCAGCCCCCCTTACCCAGCAGGGCCTGGAAAAGCTCGCTCTGAAATACACGGACCACTTTCTCGACTGAGGCTCGCAGAGGCTGCTCCGCCGGGGACTGCAGAACCCCCTGATAGCGGGCCAGGATTGCCACAGCTCGTTGGGTGTCTGCAAGGCAAGAGCAAAGCTTGAGGGAAGTCTGGGGGGGCTGTATCCAGCAAGCGCCCCCCCCCCCTCCCCAGGACACACAGCCCCTCTTCGCCCAGGCAGGTTCCTGCAGCTGGCAGGGGACCAACAAATCCAGGATCCACATTCACACATTCAATCTAGGCAAGGAGGAGTCCAGAACCCGGAACTTTTTTGTCCCACGGAGAGAGCAGGCCTGCCAGCCCCAAAGAGCAGCTCTGGCGGTTCCGGAGGCCCCAGCTAGACGGGAGGTTTTTCTCAAGAGCACCGGTTCCCCGCATGGAAGAAGAAGAAGAAGAAGAAATCCCCTTTGGGGTGACCCCAAGTTCTCCCGGGGACTGAAGGCGCTGCCAGCTCAGCTGTGCCTTCTACAAGGGCAGCCTTGCGTTGTCTGAAAGGCTCCTGGCCCTCATCCTTGCCTCCCCCCCGCCCCCCCCCACCCCCCCCCCCCCCCCCCCAGCAAGGGCAGAGGAGCCCAGAATCTCTGCCCTCACCCACGGGGGCCCTGCATGCTCTTCTACAAGACTCCCAGTAATCCGCCCTAAGCTGGGGGCTTCGTAAACGAGCCCCCCCTCCAACAATTCGGGGAAATAGCTAGCCAGCTGTCTTCCATTTCAGGGCTCAGAAGGCACCCAAGGCAGAAGGAAAAGGTAAGAAGCTTTCCAGAAGGAAGGTGCCACTCAGAAGGACTGAAGCACAACTTGCCTGCAGCCAAGAAGGTTCTAAGGCGGAGGGGGGGGCCTCCCCGGGGGGGGGGGTCTCACCTGGGAGGCCAAAGGCCTGCTGGAGACCCTCTAGCAGGGCAGCCTCGGAGGAGGGGACCGGAAAGGAGCAAAGAGCCCTGGCAGGTGGAGGTCCGCACGGGCGGCGTCTCCCGGGAGATGAGGTCGCCAGGAGCCCCTCAGGGGCGGCCCGGCGCTCCGACTCCCCACCCAGCCCCGCTCCCGAAGCTCCGGTTGCTGCCTGGAAAAGTTCAGCGCCTCCGGAACTCCTACTTGGAGGTCCCCGTCCCCTCTTGCCCCTCCCCCCGCCCGGAAAAGAGGGGGAAAGTTCCTGCACGGCCGGTCCGAGTCGCGGCCCCGGAAAGGCCGCTGCTTCTGGGCCCCTGCAACGGGGG